GAAGAAGGAAGGGGCACGTAGACAATGGGTACTAGGATTTTGATTTGGTGAGAGATATGAATAGCATGTATATCAAAGGAGGACTAAGATAACTTTGAATGTGAATGAAATGAGCTCACACATAAAACAGAAAGTGAAATCAAATAATATGTTTGCAAGAAACATAAAGACTCACATTTAGTTAAAATAAAGAGTTGGAGCAAAATCTATTATGTCTGATCTCAACATACATAAAAATAGGGGTAGTAATTATGATTTCACACAAGGCAACAGAAAAGCATAAACTTAATTAAAAGAGACAAAGAAGGAGAGTATATTTTGCTGAAGGGTTATATGAACAATGAAATGATTTTGTTACTTAATATATATGTACCCAATAGTTTGAAAATAATTAAAGGAAAAACTAAATAAATAATAAAAAGAAATAGACAATAGCATTATAATAATGGAGTACTTCAATTTGTTCCTATCAGCCCTAGGTAAATCTAATAAAAAATAAACAAAAAAGAATCTAAGGACCTGAATAGAATTTTAGAAAAATTAGACATGATAGACTTTCAGAAATTATTGAATGGAAATAAGGAACATAAATATATGCTAGCTATGCGTGACACCTCTATAAAAATTGATCCTTCCTTAGGACATTAAAAACCTCACAAACAAATTGAGAAAAGGCATTAATATTATACAGATTTTTAAAACTGAAAGCAATGAAATAAAATTATATTAAATTAAGGGTCACTGAAACAGTAGTAAAAACCAATTAGAGTTTAAATAACTTAATTCTTAGGAATGGTTTGGTTAAAAAAATCATAGAAACAATAGATGATTTCATTAAAAATAATGACAACAATGAGATAACAAAACCTGATGGGAAAATTGGATTGCTATGTGGAAGAAGTTGAATTTTAGACCAACATCTCACACCTACCAAGATAAGCTCCAAATGGGCACATAGCCTAGATATAAAAGATCAGATCATAAACTAGTGAGAGAAACTGGGAAAAAAATATCATTAGCTCTATGGGTAGGAGAATATTTCATGACCAGCAAGGAATCAAGAGGATCATAAAAGAATCAATAGATAATTATGATTACATAAAATTAAAAAGGTTTTGTACATATGTATGCAAAAAAGCTAACAGTGAAAGGAACATGATAACTGGAGGGAAAAAGTCTTTGCAGTAAGCTTCTGTGATAAAGTTCTCATTTCCAAGACACATAAAAACGGATTCAATTTTATAAGAAAAAGAACTATTCTCCAATTAATGGCCTAAAGATATTAAGAGGTAGTTCTCAAGGCAAGGAGCCCAGAATATTTATAGACATATGAAAAATATTCCAAATCAATGTCAATTAGAAAAATGTAAATTAACACAATTTTGAGATTTTTATCTCACCTCCATCAGAGTGGGAAAGATGACAAAAAACAAAAATGATAAATATTGGAGGTGCTTGGGAAAACAGGCAACTGATGCCCAGTTAGTGGGCGTTTAAACAAGTACAACCATTCTGGAAAACAATTCAGAATTATATGCAAAATATTAGTAAACAGCACATACCCTGTGACCCAGATATACCACTGCTAGCACAATACCCAAAGGGGATCAAAGAAAGAGAAAAGGTCCCTTATGTATAAAAATGTTTATAGCAACTCTTTTTGTAGTGGAAAAAAAATCCTAGATGTTATAGGGATGCCTATCAATCGAGGAATATAAGTTGTTGTATATGATGTGATGGAATAGAATTGTGTTGTAAGAAATGAAGAAATAGATGATTTCAAAAAGTCATGGAAAGATTTGTATGAACTGATTTGGAGTGAAGAAAGCTTTATTAGAAGAACAATTTATACTGCAACATCAATATTGTAAAGATAAATATTTTTGAGGACTTTTATAAGCTAATGAAAAATGAAATGAACAGAACTTGGAGAATATTTTATACAATAATAACACTACTGTAGAAACAAGAACTATGATCTATACAATGACCCAGGATTTTGGAGGATTGATGATGAAACATTCCCTCCATTACAGAGAGTTGATGGATTTAGGGTGCAGAATGAGACATATATTTTTGTTAACAGATGTTATTGAGTGAATTTGTTTTGCTTGATTATGCATATTTGTTATAAGAATTTTCTTTCTCTCTTTTTTTACTGGTATGGGAATTGGAAGGAAGAGAAAATAGATTTCTGTGTTGTTTTTTTTTAAAAGAGAAATAAGGGGAGTGATACATGTGTAAAATGTTATATGCACTCTCAGATGAAGTCACAATATTATTGGTTTTTACTTATCTGTTGTTTTGTTATAAGAGACTTCTCATGAAGTGGGAATATTCTGTCATTTGTGATGCAAAAACAAAACATATTAATAAAAAATTTTTAAAAGAATTTCCATTGAGCAGTTGGTGATGCAGTAATAAAGCTCAGGAAAGAGGGTGAATATACTGTAATGTCCTCAGTGGAGAGGGGAAAGTCACATACAAATTCCTTTTCTTTATAGTCAATGCTCTTCACACTTGGTTGTGATCAACCTCTCTTTTAATTTTTGTCCATTTAATTCTTTCCATGAGCTCAGTGTGTCAGCCAAGAAACTGCTTTGTCCCTAAAATCCTCCCTTCAATTTTTAGTCTTTGGACCTTTGCTAATGTTGTTCCTTATACCTTGAAAATCCTATTCCATGCTGCCTATCAAATTCCAAATTATTAATCAGTCAAGCATTTTTAAGTGGTTCCTGTGTGCCAAGATTGTTCCTTTCCTTCCCAACTCTCTTGTTTTTTGGATCTGAAATAGCATTTTGCTTCGCGCCTCCTACCTGGAGGTGATGAACCTCAGAGTTAAGGGCCTGAGGGAGTCCAAGAGGAGAGGCTTCGGCCAATATTAGGTTAAGGGTTATTGCCATTGTGGAAAAATTACTGTAGCTTGACAGCTGGAAAGAGTACTGTAATACCCACCTGAGCCACAGGCTGGAGACTGTAGACAACTGGAGTTGAACAAAGAAGAAGAACCTTAGGGAATTCAGTGGGTCAACCCTACCAGCAGAGATGGCACCCTATGAAGACCTCATTGGCAGAACAACTTGTTCAGCCCAGTTTGGCAGCACCATATTGGCTAAGCGATTGCTTAGAATTTGCTTAGCATTAGCTTAGCTTAGATTGCTTAGATTAGAATAGCTCACCAGTACTCATACCCAGCAACCAAGTGACTTGCCCAACCAAGCCAGGTAAGGAACGATCTGCAGCAGATGGACCTGTCCGGAAGGGAGGCTGCATCCTGCAAGAAATAAACCTAGCTTAGCAAGAGAATGATTTTTCTATCACCAACAGTAAACTGTATATAGTCTCTACAGAGAAAGAAAGGGCTTTGAGGTCCCTGTCATTCTAGAGTTGAGTTGCTTAGGCCACATGTGCTCCATACATATTTGCCTCACTATCATTATATTTTTAAATTCGTACCCACTTTTCTCCCTACCCCTCATGGACTGCATGTATCTTTGGAAATATATGTCCCATGTTTTGGGGGAAAAGCTTCATAATTGCTGTTTTTGATGTTTTATTTGAATAAATACATTTTATAAATATAAATAAATATATTTATAAATATAAATAAATAAATTCTAAAAATCAAATTAAATTACCCGGTGATTGTTAAAGAGAGGCATATGGGTGAGGGCTTATAAGCTATCATGTTAGGAGGTTATTCACCCAGAGGGTTACTCTGAGAACCCCAAGTATCAGCCATCTCCAAGGGACCCATTTTTTTGTGTGTATGTTGGACGAGTAATCTAAGATGGGGTACTACACAAATAATTTGGAAAACACTAACAATTGAGTAAATCAGGCAAGATCTCTTTGTAGGAAGTAATATTTGAGCTGAGCCTTGAAGTGAATTGGGGGTTCTAAGAAGTGGATATTGAGATGAAGAGGATACAACTGATTGATGGGGGCAGGGGAACAACTACAGGAATGAATCTGAGAGATAAAATACAATATTATGGGGAGCACAAGTAGGGCCGGTTGAATGGAGCCCTTGAGTGAGAGAAGGAATAATGTGTAATTGCAAAGGACATCCCTAGGGACCAAGGTGCATGTTGTTTGGGGTCCATTCTGCCTCCCAATGGCCAGCTTCTTTCTTTCCCCACCACCTATCTAGACCTTAGCCTTTCCATCCTGGGAGTCAAGGAAGAAGAGGAACTATGATAGCTCCTTTGTCACTATACTTTCAGGGTAACCCAGAGTATTCAGTGCTTGTGTCCAAACTCTGCTCCCCTTTCACACAGGGCCCTATGACAACTCCCGGCTTCACCCCACCCACCCACACAGTTGGGCCCCTATCTAGAGTAGGGTTAGGACACCGGGGATGTTGGTTACTATTTCTTTAAGCTATACCAATCCAGTTGGGATTCCTCTGCATCCACAGCGGACTTCAGGTCTGTGCCCAATTAGCGGTGAGCTCAGTTTTTGTTTAGCTTAGCAACCGCCTTCCCTTTCCCTCTTCTGGGTGTTACCTGTGGAAGCCCACAAAGGGAGCGGAGCAACAGCGGCGGTGACGACGGTGGCTGCAAGTGCTAGTCCCTCTGGGCACCTTGTCACCACAGCCAGGACTTCCTGCAGCTCTGGCTGGGGGCATACACCTCCCGGGAAGCCGAGGCTCGCTGCTCTGGACGAGAAGAGAGGCAGCTCATTGCTGCCCCGACGCTCCTGCGTTCAGCCAAAGCTACAAAGGAGGAAAGAGAATTGAGTGTTGCCATTGCTTTCTCACCTCCGTGCTTTTCTCGTTTCTTCGGGAAAGGGGAGCTGGGGGGATCATTGTCCTGAAGTTGGGGCTGTTTTGCAAAGATCTGACGAATTGATGCGCACAGAAAGACTCACCACTCTGTTCCGAGTCCGAGAAGCAGCATGCACTGAGCTTGGGAGAGCCCCTAGTCCACTCAGCTCGCTTCGCTAGAGTTGTTACTGAGCCCCCAGAATCCCCTCCCCGCTGGGGTGGTGGATGGAGCTCCTCTGCCAAGGGTAGGCTCTGTGCCCTGTGATTTAACTCTGGGCTTCCTCAAGACCCGGCCTCTCAGTTCCGAGATATGAAGGTAGCAGTGTTGGATCTGGGGTCCCTCTTTGCCAAAATCTTCAAAGCATCTGTGCAACCACCGGTGGTCGCCTCCCCCGTAGCCTCGGCTTCCTCTGGCAGCGCCTCCTCTGCGGCTGCTACGGGTCCGGCGGACTCTAGCGTGGGCAACGCAGGCAGCAGCGCCAGCACCGTCCTCAGTGCTGCTCAGACCGTCACCCTCTTCCCCACCGTGGCTCCCAAATCCCCAACCGCTCCTAGGGTACCCTCTGTGTCCCTCTCTTCCCCAGCGATCCTCCATCCTCTCCTTACCGCCTCCTATCCCAGGGTTTCCTCCGTGAGAAAAGCAGCAGAAGTCGCGGGAGCCCCATTCTCCTTGCCCAGTAGCCCCAGGGCAGCCAGACTTCCACCCCTGCCCCTGCCTCATTCCTTGTCTCAATCTCAGCCCCTGCTATCATCCCAATCCCAGCCTTCCTCCCAGTTCCACGCTCAACCTCAACTTCAACCTGTCCCACAGCCCCCTGCCCAACCTCATCTTCAGCTCGTGACCCATGCCCAGTCCCAGACGCAGCCCCTTCCCCAGCTTCCTTCTCAGCCTCTGCCCCAGCCCCAGCCTCAGTCACAGCCCCAGTTTCAGCCCCTCTCCCAACCACATCTCCTTTCTCTATCCCAGTCTCTTCCTCTTTCCCTTCCCCAGCCTCATCTCCAACTCCTGCCCCTTCCTCAGTCTCAGCTCCAGCCTCTTTCCCAACCCCACTCTGAGGTTCAGCTCCAGGTCCAATCTCATCCCCAGCCTCCGCTCCAGCCCCTGTTCCAGACCCAATCGCAGTTTCTCCCTCAGCTCCAACCCCAGCCGCAGCCTCTCCCCCTTCTCCACTCCCCTGTCCAGCCCCTGGCCCTGAGAGGCAGTGGTGGTGGCGGCAGCTGCAGCAACAACAGTGGGGCTAACTCTCCTGCTCTTCCTCTTTCTGTGGCCCTGTGGCGACCGCCTCCAGGCCCCGGAGGGCTCGGAGCGGTCCTGCAACCCATTACGGGCACCGGAGGTAGCAACAGCGGCTTAGCAGCGAGCCCGGCTCGCTCTCCGCGCCAGCCTGGTCCTGGAGAACGAGAGCCTGGTGCTCGGATAGTGCCCGGCCAGGGCCCTAAGACTCTCTTGTTCACCCTCCCAGACATCGGCGAGGAGTGGGGGACTGATATCGAGTCAGAGGATGATGGTAGCAGTGAAACGTGAGTTACTTAACCTTTTTCAGACCCCTCCCTCGCCGGGTCCCCGGTCCCCCTCCTTCCCCTCTCTTCCGCCCACCCCCTCCCCAATTTTTCAGGATCTTCCTCAGCATCCTGCCTTCCGCGTCTCCCAATAACTACGATATTTGGTCTTGCTTCTCATACTGAGCTATAAGTGCTTCTCTCCCTCTGTTTTCCTCAGTGTTAGGGAGTAGTCGCATTTTACCCAGATCTCTTCTCATCAGGCTTACTACCACCCGGGCCCCCTGTATTCCTGAGGGGAGGCAGAGGAGAGAAGGGAGGGAACTAGGAAGAAGAGAGAAAGGAATTTTCATTTGTTTATTTTTGGAGCTCTGCCGCTGATGTATTTGCATGTGCTACTTTAATTTATATCGTCTTCTTGTTTGCTTTGGGCCTTTTTCTGATGCCCCAAAGCTTTGAGAAACTATTTATCTTCGTTGAAAATTGGCAAGAGTGACTTTTACCCCGAGTAACCAAACACGGAACACTGACAGTGTTGAATTTTCTGCAAAACAAATAAAATATCTCCAGATTAAAAACCACCACCACCACCACCAACAACAACTTCAGTTTTTACTCCAAATGGGCCGAGACTCTTGGAAGTGTGTATCTTTATGACAGTTTTCTCACCCGGACATAGAGAATTTCAGTAGTTCAAACTTCATAGCAGATCTTAATATGTTCCCTCCAGTTCCCTCTTCCTCCCCAGCTCTCTCACTCCTCCATCAACACTTCTTGCCTGATATTATTTAGAACTCACTTCACAGGTCAATGGTTCCCTAGAACATTAACAATGTTCTCATAGCTAAGAAATAGGTATTTTATAAAGGCATTTTGAAGGCCTAGAGCTGAATTTCTTTTGATAGACAAAACAAGTAAACAGTTTAGTAGGTAGAGAAACTTTTGCTCCTCAAAAACTCCACATACAGTTTGAAAATCAGAGAACACTAGGTTAGAATGGTCTTCATTTAGATGGAGATTCTTCCCTGGAATCTAGAAAGGCAATGAACACTAATTCCTAATAGAAATTAAATTCTCAATGGAAAAAAAATGTTTTCATACAACTAAATGCCCTATTTATTTGACTTTAAAATCTGCCTTTAAAAATGTTAATGCTATGTATGCTTAAGTAATAGGGTACACTGTATATATACGGAAGAATATCATCAAGAGATCCAGAACCATTTTCTAAGACAATTCCATTTCACTTGAGTAAGTAGTTGAATGAGAGTCTCAGGAACAAGATCTTTGTTTTCGTCTACTGGTCCTTAGCATTTATACTATTAATGTTTCATGAGTAAACAGAACTATACACCTGCTTTAAACTCTGATCTGACTGCTCTTCATGACAGATGCTGAATATTCATCATGGGACTCAAAAAGGATTTGTAGGACATGTGTTTAGGGTTTTATAATTTTATGAATGGAAATTATGTTTTCATCATCATCAGCCATCATCATCTCTTCCTTTTGCCCTCTTCCCTTAGAGGTGAGGAAGGGTAAATACAAGGCATGCTCTTTGTCCTCATGGAATCTGTAAGCTTTTCTGTGGAAGATGTGATGTACATAAATAAACACACACAAGTTAGAAGGTGAAAGTACAGTATATTAATAGATGCAAAGTACTGTGGTACCTAAGGAGAGGACTTCTGACAGAGGATCAGTCAGTAAGTCAGTCAATTAGCATTTATTAAATACTTACCATATGCCATGTACTGAGCATAGATCAGGATCATAGATCATAGATCAGCATGAATCAGAACAGACATTTTTAAAAATTATGTATTTTATTTTTCCCCAATTACATATTAAAATAATTTTTAACATTTCTTTAAAGTTTTGAGTTCCAAATTCTATCCCTTCTTCTCATCCCTCCCTCCTTCCTAAGATGGTAAGAGATATAGGTTATACATGTTCAATCACGTAAAACATTTCCATATTAGTAATTTTGTACATGGAGACGAGTAAAAAAAAAAAGAGGATGAAAGTGAAAAATAGCATGCTTCAGTCTGTATTCAGACAATGTTAGTTCTTTCTCTGGAGGTGGATTGTATGCTTCATCATTAGTCCTTTGGGATTGTTTTGTATCATTGTATTGCTGAGAATAACTGAGTCATTCACCATTCTTCATCGTACAACATTTTTATTACTGTGTACAATGCTCTCCTGGTTCTGCTCACTTTATTTTGCAAATCTGTTCACGTAAGTCTTTCCAGGTTTTTCTGAAATCATTCTGCTTGTCATTTCTTATAGCACAATAATATTCCATCACAATCCTATACTAAAGCTTTTTTAGCCATTCCCCAATTGATGGGCATCCCTTTGATTTCCAGTTCTTAGCCACTACAAAAAGAGCTGCTATATATATTTTTGTACAAAGAGGTCCTTTCCTCTTTTGGGGGGATGTCTTTGGAATATAGACTTAGCAGTGATATTGCTGGATCAAGGGGTATGCACAGTTTTATAGCCCTTTGGGCATAGTTCCAAATTGCTCTCCAGAATGGCTGGATCACTTCCCAATTCCATCAACAATGTATCAGTGCAGGACAGACTTCTTGAAGAAAGCTCCATTTGAAGAACTGAATGGAGCTCATCAAAGCTCTTGAATTGGAGGGAACCTCAGAGTCCGTCTCATTCAATATATTCATTTCACAGACGAGGAAACTAAGAGAAGTCTCATTTAGGTTTTAATTTGAACATGTGTCCTACTAGAAGGTATGGTCCTGCTTTCTATTTCATCTTCATGTGCCCAGGGCCTTACACATACTTGAACTTCAACCATGACACGGTATTAAAATAGCATTTTGCTGGTGTGCCTCCCCCATGGAGGGTGGTGCTTTTGAACCGGTCTGAATCTTAGGTGAAAGAAAGAAGGTGAGTCTAGATAAGCAACCAAGACAGAGCGTGGGGAGCATAGTAGAAAAACTCATGCATGGCAAGCTCAAGGAATAATATATGATTCAGTGTGACTAGAATATGGGATGAGTAAAGAGGAGCAATGGGAAGAGAAACTGGAAAAGTAAATAGGGTCCAATCATGAAAGACTTTGAATTCGAGGAAAGAGGAGGTTGAACTTTATTTAGTAACAATAGCTGGGCATTATAGAGTGCTTTAAGGTTTGCAAAGCATTTTATAAATATTGTCCCATTTTGCATTTATTTATATGCATTTCATTTTAGTAGGTAATGAGGAGTCATTGAAGGTTTTTCTGAAGGCTGTGACATAATCAGAGCTGTGCTGTAGGAGAGTGAATTGAGTTTAAGTATTTAGATGAATTTCATGAAAAAAATTTAGAGGTCAGGGCACTGGACTTGAAGTCAGGATTGGATCATATCATATTTGAGACACTTACTAGCTGTGTGACCTTGGGAGAGTCACTTAACCTTTGTGGTTAATTTCTCTTATCTGTAAAACAAGGAACTTAATGGTTCCTAAGGTCCTTTGCAACTGTAAATCTGTAATCCTATTATTATTACAGAGTAGATATACTATAGGTCTCCTAGGTGGCCGAGCAAATAGAGTGCCCAATCTGAAATCAGGAAGATTCATCTTCCTGAATTCAAATATGGTCTCAAACACTTATGAGCTGTGTGAACCTGGGCAAGTCACTTAACCCTATTTGCCTCAGTTTTCTCAGTAAATGAGATAGAGAAGGAAATGGCAAACCACTCCAGTATCTCTGCCAAGTAAACCCCAAATGGGGTCACAGAGTCAGATATGACTGGAAAATGACTGAACAACAACAGAGATACTGGAATCCTGAAGACTAATCCAAATGAGAGGTAATGAAGGTGTTGCCACTGGAAATAAAAAGAAGAGCTATCACAGAGGTAGGATTAATATGACCCAACAACTGATTGTAAGTCAGAGATGGGGGAAGAAAGTTATGCAGAAAGAGGAGTCAATGAAGATTCTAATATTTCAAGCATGAAGGATAGAGGAGAGTGGTGTTGTTAACAGAAATAGGGAGGTCAGGAAGATGAGTCTTTAGCCTCAAATACTTTGGAAAACCTATGATTTTGTTAGTGTAGGTTTTCCATTTACTGATATACTGAGATAAATTGGGACTCTTCCCCATCACCCCCCCCCAAAAAAAACCCCAAACTTAAAACAAAATAAACTTGACTCAGTAGGTGGTTTTCATGAGTTATTACTGAAAAAAAAGCATCATTATCCTAGAACCAACCTTCTGGTGATAAGCTCTTCCTCTTTTAAAGAGATTAGTCTTCTGGGGCAGCTAGGTGGACAAAGCATTTGCCCTGAAGTCAGGAAGTCCTAAGTTCAAATCCAGACTCAGACCAAACACTTGACACTTACTAGCTGTGTGACCCTGGGCACTTAACCCCAATTGCCTTAAAAAAAAAAAAGAGAGAGAGAGATTAGTCTTCAGATGAGAGACCTGCAATCCATCATCAGCCCTATATGCCATGTCTAAAACTCCAATGGTACAGTGATTGAGAACCCACAGCAACCTCCATTTTTGTAAGGGGCTTTAGAGACTGAGAAGTGCTGGATAAATAAATGTTAGCATTGGTCATGATGATGAAGCAGTGGGGTCAGATTTTAGTAGAGAAAGCTAATATGTACTTAACACTCACCAGTTCTCCTTACAGAAAAGGCTGTTCTGCATTAGTAAAGACACTGAAATGGTCTGAAAATCTGCTGACTTTTATGCCATCATGATCCTTGAACAATAGAAAAATAAAACCCATAAATACATACCTTGAGATTTTTACCTCTAGCTTTATAGCTACTTTGGCTACTACTACTAATAATAACTAGAAGTTAAGTGTTTTTTATAAATATTATCTCACTTGAACTTCACAAAAACCATGGGAGGTAGGTGCTATTATTATCTCCATTTCACAGTTGAGGAAACTGAGGCAGACTAAGGTTGAGTGACTTGCCCAGGGTCACACAGCTAGTAAATGTCTGAGGTCATATTTGAACTCATTTCTTCTTGGCAGAATACTGTATCCACT